GGAGCATAGAAAAATGCAGGGTCTACAGCAATGGGATGGCTATGGGTAAAGTCAAGGGCCTGAGAAGCCCATCCCTGGAGAGGGTAAAGACCTCATATATAGGAATAAACTCACCATCAATGGACCTACTTTTGCTGAATGTGAGGTCTATATATCCTTTGAATGCAGGAGGACAGTCAAAGGGTATGAATCAAATAGTATGAACAAGCACTTGGCCACTGGCTGAAAAGGATTCCTAGCACCCTTCTCCTTTCTCACACTCCTTGTAAGAGCTATCTCCCAGACAGATAGGCAGCTCTAAGCTGTCCCTTGTCTCCTTATCCATCTTGTCCTGACACAAAGCTGATGACCCCCAACTTTGCTTTATATATAGCCCTTGGAGTTAATGTACATATAAACATGCATATGCAGCATGTTAAGCATGGAGGAACAGACACTTTTTTGGGACAGCCTGGAGTTTGAAAGGCATGTTCATCCCTGTATGAAAAATGAATAGCAGGCAGCAAAGTCTCACAGCTAACATCTGTGTGACTGGATCTCACAATCTTTCTACCTGGACCAAACACTACAAACTGTGCTCAGGCGTGAGATGGCTCTGATACAAGCAATGGCCAATATTCTTATTCTGAAGATCTGAAGTCTTATGATTCTGTACAATGGGGCTAGAGGTCACGAAGGGTCATATCTCAGCAGGTTAGAGGTGGCTATAGATCCCAGTAGTACTAAGTTAGAAGCAGCTCTCAAAGGTTGTTTTCCTCTTTCAGGGAAATCCTTAGGAGGAGAGAAATGGTGTATAACATAATAGACTAGAACCTGCCATTCTCTTAGTCCCCCTAGTGGTAGTTCTGATGACTTTGGGTTATAAACCACTTTATCCTGCTGCTGCTTTTGTATAGATGCCTTTGGAAAGGTTAACTTCTATTTGAAATAATTTAGCACAACCTAGTGGACAAAAATACATTGTTCTACGAAAACCAACTCTGATGTGCACAGCAGCAGTGACTGTGACCGTTAGAGTATAAAAGTCTCCTTGCTACTTTCAATATCTCATTGGTACAATCTTCCACCATTTCCTTCTTTTATAGTGTTTTGGGTTTTTTTAAGTGGAGAGAAGTCAAAAAACAGTTTTTCATGCACTGGCCTCCATTAATTGTGACACATACAGAGCAATTTTGAACTTCAGGCAGTATCCCTGAAAATTGCTGTTAAAATCCTTCATGCCTAGAAGTTTGTACTTACACAAGAAAAAATTAACAGCATTGCTGAGGGGTGCGTCCCTACCTGGGTCTCACAGAAAACACAAGAGCAGATAGATACTTGAGGTGTGCTGTTGTGTATCATCTGCCTCTTTCTGCATTCTTGGGTAATCCTTCAGGAATCTGTGGCTGCTAGAAAATCTCCTCTACACATTATGCAAAGTTAATAAAATCTGAGACCAAAACTGCCACAAAATATCACTCAGACTTTGAAGTTTCCAGTGTGATATGCTACTGAATTTCTTCACTTTTTTGACTTGTGAAACCCTGTTTTGATTAAATTTCTCCATTGTGCTAATCAAACACATAAGTTATTTTCATGCTGTTTTCTGCTTCTTCAAGACAAGTATTTCCTGTTGAATTTATGCAGGTTTTAAATGTCATTCTACATTTGTGTATAAGTGGCAAACAATATATGTGGCATAAAACAGGGCTCAAAATGGCATAAAACAAACATATTGGTAATACCTGGAAATAAAATAGGTGGAACAAAAAACATAGTAACACTGAGAGTCAAAAGAGAGAGAACATGTTCATTAATACATCTAACTGTCAAGGTGGTCAGATCTGTGGATACTTAAATCAGCTGATGGGAGCCATGAACAGATAAGACAGATCTTTCTTCTAATCACAGTAGTATTGCTAGCTATGACAGACTGCACTTTTAAAAGCTTAGAAGTGCTGTACGAACAGAAAAAGGCCTGTGAAGGGTTAATGCTTCACAGAAACAGAGAGCCTTGAGTAACAGGCTGCTCCAAGCAATTTGATTGCTTAGCATCATCTGAGCAGAGAGAGATTTCAGAGCTGCATGCTGAGGAGGAGAATTCATTCAGAATCTAGCCATGGCAGAACAGTTTAACACAGACAGGAGAACTGCTGAAAGTTGGCGAGGACAAGTGGGTAGTTAGACAGAGACTACCATTCAGGCCAAAGAAAGGGGATAGATCTTCTAGTGAGAAGAGAATTTGTCTACCCAGTCTAAACAGGGTGATAGGTATGAAGAGTGAAGAAATGCCAGGCCTGGTGTGGTCAGAAACCGCCTTTGTAGACATTACAAGTCTATTAAAAACTCAAGATGAGTACTGGTGTTTCAAGAGAAGGGGTTTGGAAGAGTGTACCAACCTTCTAGAAATCAAAAGAGTCAGAGAATACTCAAAGAAAGTATACTAGGGCCCCGTTCACATGGAGAATTTGCCCTGCGAGAGGGACGGCTTGCTGTGGATTAAACGGGCACAATCATACCTCAACATCTGGGAAACGTGGCACTCCCGTCTCCAACCCATAGGTTCGGCCCAAAAAAGCGGAGTTAAAAGATACTGGGAACCATGCAGTATCTTCTGGAAAACACGTGGCGCGTGCGGGCGTCTGATCAGGAAGCGCTGGTAGCCCATCACAGTCAGCGTCCGTCGGCGTCCCATGCATGCGCACAAACACTTTACTGCCATTTTGCCTTGCTTTGTGTGGTTGGCTGCCAAAGGCCTGAGCACGGAGTCTCGGGGGACGGTCTGATCGCGCTACTGCGTGTCATTTTGCTTCGGCTCTAAAAGTCTCCCTTCCCCTGAGGATTATCCTGTTTATGCAACTGGGGCCTAGATCATTTTGGGAAACACTGGAACAAAAGTCTCTCAACATAAAGAATTTAGGTAATTGTGAATAGCTTAAGAAACTCATTTGCCTGAAATATAAGAACTACACTCTGTGCATGTACTGATTTTACCTCAGAGTCAACTATATAAAGTTACCTCAGGAATTTTACCCCTGATTTCACCTGACATTTCTCCTCTATGTTGAATAAAATATTTTGTTAATTTGGAATATAAAAACTCCTTGAGTGCCATTTAAGTCATATGAATTAAAGGGGGCTCCCATTCCTTCCCTCAGGTTCCTGGGCTGAACGAACAGCTAAAATATTATACTGTTAACAGGGTGGGACAGCCAGAATTCTTCAGGAAATGAGAAAACAGATAACTAGGGTGGCTCAGTCACAGAAGGGAAAGAAAAACTGAGGGAAAATCTTGCCTCTGAGGGAGAGAAGTGGACAGGGCTGTCATAACAGTCTTCCAGCCTTGGTTTCTGTCGGGGGGGGGGGGCTTCCAGGGCATATTTTGGCCTTTCAGGTAGGACTTATTGGGGCTCAGCCCACCATCAACCTCTGGGTTCTTATTACCATGTGACTGGCTGATTACTGGCTGGCTGATTACTACCATTCAACAGTAACCACACCATATGAGTCACTGTGGTGTTAAGTCTTTCAGAGTAGGATCTGGGAAACCCAAGTTCAAATTCCCAGTCTTCTCTGGAAGCTCACTGGGTGACTTGGGCCAGTCACACACTACCTCAGAGGGTTACTGTGAGAATAAAATGGAGGAGTGGAGAATGGTGTAACCTGCTTTGAGTCTCCATTGTAGAGAGGGGCGAGTATAAATGTAGTAAATAAATAGTAAATAGTGGGTGGGAAGGAGGGAAGGCTGCTGGGAAAGATGAGAATATGGGGGTTGCCAGTAGGTGAGAAAGAGAAAATAATGTGGGAAGAAGAATATAGAGCAAAGGGAGGTGCCCACCACAAATCCTTGCAGATTCCCTACAGCTCAACTGGGCCTGGCACAAGAGGTAGCAAATGACTTGGCCAGAGTCTTTCTGGGGAGAGACTGCCAGGAGGAGTCAAAGGGGGGAAACCTAAAGACAGTGTAGCAGATAAAAGTAGGTTAGCTGGTGGGTGGGAAGAAGAGAGTCTATGGGGGCAGGCAGGGAAAGGAAAGATGAAATATTGGGGAGGGGAAAATGAGATGCCCCCCACCAGTCATTGTGGTTTCTCCACTTATACACCCCTAATTTCAAGGGGAATCTGCAGAGTTCTGTTTGGTTGAAACACCCAAGAGTAATTTTGCAGGAAAAAAAATAAGATCTGAAAAACCTATAAAAATTTTCATAGAAATTCCACATAGCTCACATAGAAATGTGCAGAAGGGCCAAAAAAAAAAAAAAAAGAAAAAGAAAAAGGAAGAAAAGGCATTATGCAAAGATTTGTGGAAGGGGCCTAAGATTGGCCGCTTTGTTTGTAAGACCACAGGAAACAGCCTGAATCTTGGGCAGTACAAGAGAGAGACAGGCTTGAATTTTGCAGCCAGCTGCAAAGAAACACCCTAGAAGAGATGAAATGATATATACTCACTTTTGTGACAGTTCTTTCAAGATAAATGGCATCTGTTTTGGTATTTGTCTGTTCCCTTGTTCAGTCTGTGAACAGACATTGCAAAAAATACAGCAATTCCCCAATACTGTTGATTCATAAGGAAAGTAAGTCCCTAAATGCCTGTCCTGTAACTTCCTCTAACCAGTAGAAATTGAGAATGTAAAATATTAATTGGTAATCCATAGTCACTAGACAATTGAACATACATTTTGGGTCAATTCAGAATTTAAAAAATATGACCACCTTGACTGGAAAAATATGTTCACAATGCCTTTTTATCTTTATATTTAAACACCTTCGTATTCACACTTCTTATGCCTCAGAAATTTATTTATTTTAAAAAAAAAAAACCCAAATGCATTATTTTTATTTTGCTTGAAAATAAAATTAAACCAAATGTCATCAAAGAAGAAATGAAGTAGACACAAATCTAATGTATAAAATCCTATATATAATTTGTTTCTAACTTTTGCAAAAAACAACACATTAGCATATACAATGGTAAAAGAACAGAGGAAAACATCTTCTATGGAATATATAAAAAAGCTGTGATAACATGTGAATTCAAAATGTCAACTGAGTAATATTTCAACCTGCATTTTGCAAAATATTTAGTACTTCTTGATGATCCAGAATAAAACTGCTGGGTGAATTTCTGGGAAGATAGTGACATCTCAAGGACAGTTTGAGAAATGCAGATCTTAACTTTTGGCTTGATTTTGTACCACTACTGTCCATTGCTTGATTTCATTGTTCCTGTGCATCTGATTCCAGTCTTCGCTTATAGAATACTTGATGAATACTGCTGATTTTTACAGTCCTTTCAGGGACCTGTGTGGGCTTCAAAACGTTTGTAACACTCTGCAGGCTGTTCGATTCACCAATGTCAAGGAATGTTTCCTGTTCACTGTGTGTTCTGTATTTACAATAGTCCTACCAGCTGAAATGTTCAATCAGGGATAATTCTTGTATTTTTCCCTCTTAGGGGCTAAAAAATGAACATGTAAATAACTGTGGTTGGGAACCAATGTTAGGCATGTCCAAAGACTTGGGCATGTCCAGTGGGAGTTCTGCCTTTAAAAAATGAATAGTTCACCTTCATGCCACATCATCACTAATTTCTTCCATTTTCTAAATTGTATGTTATGTTGCAGAGTTGCATGATATCTAAAATCCCCTCTTAGGTTCCAGAAGTAGCTGCACTATGTTTTGAATCCTGGTACAGGTATAGTTGATCTGTGCTTGGGGTCCCATTCTGTATACCTAAGCTGATACAATGGATGAAATGTATCTAAGATGTTCTAGTGATAATATTTCTTATTTTTAAATATTACAAGGAAGCATTTGACTTCCCCCCCTGTTTCTCAGTTATATACTGTTTTTTCATAGCTCTGTGTTCTACATTTTGTAGAGAAGATACATTTTCACCAACAATGAAAGACACCATTCTGCACACGTAAACACACACACTTCACAGTGTGCTATAACTATAAACAAATAACCTGTTCCATGAAACTTCAGGATTTGTACAAAGCCTCTTGACAAAAGGAGGAAAAACAGATTAGGAATCTAAAGGAAACATCTCTCATGTTCTTAATGTACGCTTCTTAATTCACCATGGCCTGTGCAGATGTTTTAACTGGAAACGTTCAAAGTGTTTCTAGGCTGTTTCAGTTAAAACTGGAGTGGTGGGTCCATTCAAAGCACTTTCTCCTTCCCTAGAGTCTGCCGTGACTTTGGAATCATCCTCCAACTTCACATCATTCTCATTTTCTTGAACCAGAATGCAGACATCCTTTGTACTAGAGTTGGCGTTCTCTTCTTCCTCTGACTCATTGTGAATATTAACTTTGTGTTCTTGGGATTTGCTTTTTAGCAGTTGTCCATTCTGGGCAGGATACACCCTAGCAACTGTATCATAAAGAAACTGGTAATCTTCCTAAATAGAGAAAAAGAAAGCATTAGTAAAAACTGTAATATACCTCTCGTACTCAAGTTGTTTTTGCAGAAGGACGTAGGAAAAAGGTGGGAACCATGAAAAAAAGGAGGAAAATTATAAGGAGCACAGAAATGGGTGGGGAAGATAGCAAGAACTAGCAATTGGACTTTTCAGCCCACTTCTATCCATTGTTTATTTAGATATCTCAACTGGTATAAAAGAGGGGGTTTCAACTGTGTTCTAGATGATTGCTGTATTCCTTGGAAGGTCATCAGACACTCCTCAGCAGGAGGAACATAGTTAATGGCAATAACATACACAAACAATTTATAAGAATTTAGGTCCAAACTGTGTGTGTGTATAAAGTGCCATCAAGTTGCAGTTGACTTTGGGCTACCCCAGCAAGGGGCTTTCAAGGCATGAGAAGCAGCAGTGGTTTACCATTGCCTTCCTCTGCAGTCTTCCTCTGAGGTCTCCGTTCGAGGTACTGATCCTGCTTAGCTTCTGAGATCTGATGAGATCGGCCTACACCATACCTCCTTCTCTCCCCACACTGTATCTACTATTCATATAATTAACAAAAGGATGTCAAAGGCGCTGAAAAGATTTAGTGGAATTTCCATTAGTCCTTGACTGTACTGGATCAGTAAGTTTAGCCATTTGTATTTGTTGAGTACTTTTTGAATACTATGAATCAGGGCTTTCTTTGTAGAAAAAGCCCAGCAGGAACTCATTAGCATAATAGGCCACACCCAAGAGCAGAAACACATTAGCATATTAGGCCACACACCCCGTGTTACCAGAAGTGTGGTCATCCAGCCACACCCACCCTTTGCTTCTTATTCTGTTTACCTTGTTTGTTGTCAAAACCCAGAGCTTTTTTTGTAGCAGGAACTTCTTTGCATGTTAGGCCACACACCCCTAATGTAGCCAATCCTAATGATTGGCTTGGGTGTGGCCTATTATGCTAACAAGTTCCTGCTGGGCGTCGCCAACTCAGGAGCCAGCCGGAACTCCGTTCCTGTGCGTTCCTGCCCAAAAATAGCCCTGCTATGAATTTTATTAATAAAAATTATTTTAAGAAAGAACGGTCAAGAATGGCAGACAAACTTTGGTCTAGCAGCCTGTTTCACACAATGGCCAACTAGGCACCTGCATAAGGCCTACAGCCAGAACTCAGAGGATAAAGCTTTCTCCATTGTGGGCCCCAGCTCTGCTATTCAGAGTGTTACTGTCTGAGAACATGGAGGTTCTATTTAGTCATCAAAGCTAATAGCCATTAATAGTCCTATCCCTCATGAATTTGTCTAATCTCCCTTTAAACAGATTCAATTACTTTATTGTGATTGCTACATTGTTATTTTTTAAAGTTATTTTAAGGAATTATAGTGAGAAAGGCATGGTCAACACAGAACAAATGGCCTGTTTGTTCCAAATTAAGTAGCAGGGTTTACTTACAAAAGTGGATACCATTCCTGGCCTGGCTTTACGAAGAGATTTCACAACTTGGAAAACATCTATTACACCTTCCGTGTCTGCGCTATCCAGGAGATTCAGCAAGGCACAAAATATTCCTGTTTTCTGGGAACCATCACTACAAAATGACATTCCAGGATCAGCACTTTTAGTTGATAGCACCAGTATGACAGAGGGTTCAATGACACACTGGAATAGTACGGTTTGATTTTTCCATAGGGTTATTCCAGGTTCTGCACTTGATGCAGCATACATACAAACCCGCTCTTGCCACCTTCTCTGTGTAGAAACTATACACCAAAATGCGATGTCAATAGTGTTGCCTGAATGGGATGACAGAGGCACCCTCCCCAGGACATAACTTGGAAAGGGTCACAAAATGAACATCAAGAGTCATAAAATATACTGACAGTTGTAAAGTTAAAAAGTACTATTATATTATATCATGTATTCTTTTTGGTATGGAATAAATAATCATGTTTTCAAGATGCTAGACAGAATTCTAGATATCAACTAGCTCAGAGGCTTAGTGAAGGCTCAAAACACAAAATAATGAAGTTGTCTCAGCTCTACAAATGTCTGTTTATGGCACAACACAGTGGGATGAACAAATATAAGGTCAACGGTCGTGGCTCTGAAGCATTACAATATGATATACAACTTAATAGAATCTATAGACCAAGGTACAACGTCGTCTCCAGATTATTTACCAACGTTTCAAAAAATGAATCTTCTTCAGGAAGTTTTATAGAAGTGCCAAAGCTCTCATTTTCATAGAAGCTAGATAACAAGTCTTAAGCATATCACGATTCAGTAGGACGCTGATCTCAATTAACACTCTGTGTTTTTTTCTGGATCCTCGGCGCTTCAGAGCACAATACATGTACAGCAATTCCTATAAGTCGTATGACTGTTGATTGCGGGTCAGACCTACACGACCGTTGACCTTATATTTGTTCATCTGTTTTAGTCGTGGGTGTCCAGATTTTTTTTTTTTTACAACACAGTGGGAGCCAGCCCACAGCAAAGATGCCGGTTTTGGGGAAATGTAACAGTTCAAATCAAGCCTCAAAACACTTCGGTACCTACCCGCAGTGAATGACGAGTGGGACATTCTTGTTGTACATATTTGCTTCAGCTGATATAGGTGGTGCTGGAAGCTTCTGTCTGAGGCTCTGAATCATGGTGATAAAGTCTTGGGGAGATTCAGGGTGACCAAAGGCTTTCCAATTGTGATACTGATACTGAAACACTTCTCGGGTTTCTTTCCTCTGCAAGAAACAGAGCCGTATAGAGCCCTCAAACTATGACAGAAAAAAACATCCCCAAAGCGAATAAAAACGATACAGCCAACAATAATTTAGAGCATAAAATGAGCTATACACAAATAAAGTTCCTATCTAGGTGTTACAGGGACTTTGGGCTAATTCTCTCATTTCCCCTTCATAAGGCAGACGGATAGGCAGACAGATAATCAACAGGTAGACATAAAACCTACTCACCAATAAAAGAGAACAAATTATTATCAAAGACCTTGGTAACTCCGAAAACTGAGATCTTTACCCACAGTTGTATGTTCTACAGTCTACAGGCTTGAGACTTACCAAGTTTCTTATTTTAAAGTAGTTATCTCTACCTAGATAACGGACTTGTTAGGAAGAGGAAAACAGACTGGTCAAAGTGTAGAGATTTCTTCTGCTTTCCCCTCTGATCTTACAAACCTGTTTGGTTTGATTAGAGGTGACAATGGAAGAACAAAAAAAACATTTGTGCCATAGATCTTTAACTGGTAGGTTGGGGCTTACAAATCAATTGCACCCTGACCTAAGTTGTGTCATATCAGTGACACCATCACTATTTTCTCAAGATTTTTTTTTAAGTGGTAGAAAAATAAAGATAGAGAGGGGGCGAAAGATGAAAAGAAGAAAGAAATAGGAGGGCAGAGCAAAACAGACATAGAAAACATAATTAAAAGTGGGTTGCAATTAAATCCTGTATGAGCAGCTTCACAATGGGGCAAATAATGCCCCACAGGGCTGTTTTGGCTTGGGAAAATGGCACGGAAGGGAAGGCTGAAGCCCTTTCTCCCCCAACAGTGCAGTTCTAATCTGAATCAGGCCTCAGCATGCTTGGGAATCAGGGTCCCAACTGACTGGCCCTCCCAGGTCTCAAGGACCCCAGGTTGGCCATAACCAAGGCCAGGGTCTTCTCAGTAGCAGCTCCGTTCTGATGGAACAAGCTCTCAGAAGAGATCAGGGCCCTGCGGGACCTTATGCAGTTCCACGGGGCCTGCAAGACAAAACCAGGCCTTCAACAAGCAGCCGCCCCCAATAGTTGAAAGGCAGAGAGCCCTGTCCCCGGAGCCACCAGCAACAGCCTGTGCCAGCCACATAAAGGAATACATCTATGAGCTGATTATCAGGATAGGTCATTGAATTGTGGCCACCACTGTTATCAATATCATTATTGTTTACTAGCACTTTATAATGTTGGATTGTTTTTAGAAGGTTTTAGGATTGTTTTAGGATTGCCAACCTAGCAGTTCGATCCTGCCAACCTAACAGTTCGAAAGCAAGAAATTGCAAGTAGATATATAGGTACCACTTCGGTGGGAAGGTAACAGCGTTCCGTGCTCCTTGGTGTTTAGTCATGCCGGCCACATGACCACGGAAACGTCTTCGGACAGCGCTGGCTCTTCGGCTTTGAAACGAAGATGAGCACCGGAACCCTAGAGTCAGACTCGACTGGCTTTCGAGCAAGGGAACCTTTACCTTGGATTGTTATAACAGTTATTTATGTTGTCGGCGGCTTCCTGAGTAGATATAAATTACCTGCCTACCATTTTTCTTCTCATCTTGACACAGAGAGTACTCTATCTTTCTGTGTTATACCTCTGAGAATGCCAGTCACAGCTGCTGGCGAAACATGAGGTCCTACAATGCCAAGACCATGGTGTACAGCCCTGTTATTTAATGTTATTTATGTGTTTTTACTCTTTTATGTAAGCTGCCCTGAGCCAGCTTCGGCTGGGAGGGCGGGGTATATATCAGATAGATAGGAGAAAGAGAGAGAGAGAGAGAGTTTGGCATTCACATGCTCAGAGTTGGGGTGGGGAAAACCAAAACCTGAACAGTGGCCAGATGTCTCACCTACTTTGGCCTTAAGAGGTATAAGCAATATGGGGTTGGATCAAAGGGGGCTACTTAGTCAGCATCATGGTGTTCCTATTGATAGAATGGTGCCGGTGCAGCAGTGGAGGACATTTTTGGCCAATTTTAGTCGCGCTGCAGACCTCCACTTTAACCCCATACTCTGCTTGTGAAGGTGTCTTGATCTCCAGGAGCAGAATTTCTGGCAGCAAAATGAGCTCCAGAAGGAAGAGGGCATGGAAGTTCTGGTTTGCCAGCTTTACTCCATTGGCAGTGGTTTGGATCTGACCCATGACTCCACTCTGCATTCATTTTATCATTCCTATGTTTAAAATACAAATCAGAATCCCACAACTCATATTAAAAGTTTATAGGAACAAATACACACTGAAAAAGTAGCAAAGATGGTCCCAAAGCTGGACATCTTTAAGTGCTTCTCAGTGATCACTTTTCTCTTTTTGTAACATCCATTAAGTACAATATCCCCCAAAGGTAGAAATACTGTTATCATTTTACCTTCACGTGTGTTACATCAAAGAGATTAAGGGTATAGCCAGAACAACAGTTGGTGTATTTCAGTTCAACAGTGAGATTATCATAGGTCTGTTTTCCTTCCCCCCAATATTGTGCACATAGTTCCTAGAAATGAATAAAGCCCAAATTAGTGATTCCCACTGCAGTACACATTCTTTTAAGATCATCTGCGAAAAATTCTATGACTGCAGCTCTTCTTCCCCTTAGTGCATCTACAAAAACTTGTGTTTTTCCCCCAGTGATGAATCCCAATGAAGTACATTTTCTCAGTGGGTAAACACTTCCAAACAATTCCCCTATTATTACTTAGAGCCATTTATTCGAACATGGTGAAAATGTGGTAAAGCCACCACAAATTGCTTAGTTTGGTATGGCAAGCAGATTAGTGAATAATGCACTGACACCATACCCTGGTAGTTCATCCATAGATTATGGTCATTAGGATGCTGAGAGTACATTACATTGTCCCAGACAGTAGCTGTTGCTATATTGGAAGCTATTTTCTCTCCCTCCCCCTCTCCCTCACACACACACAACCTCAAAAGGAAAATGCAAAATTAACAACATGAGTTCAACAAAGATTTAATTAAATTAACAACCAAACAATGCAGTTTATTAACTCTTATTAAGTCTTCCCCTCCATTTAGGGCAGTTCCCTAAAGATTGTTCTTGGGAGGGTTCAACGGATGATGCCCAAGTTCTCTCCCCAGGCTCAGTCAACCTGAAGTGTCTGGTGTGGATACTCCCTGCCCCTGTATCCTTAGATGCCCCAGGATGATTTCTACTCTAAATTAATTTGAAGCATCTATCCAATCTCATGGAATCCAGCCCTATATGATACAATACCCCTTCCCCTTTCTTTGAATAGTGTGAAGCAGGCAAAAACACCTCTTAAAAACTTCATTTCTGGATGCATGTGGTGGCATGAAGAAAACTCTTGAAATGCATGGTAGGTCACTGTAATTGCCACTCCTGGAGACATTAAAGGAAGCCTCTACTTGGCAGGCATACTGGGCAAACAGATGCACCATCTACATTTTGGCATGCTTCCAAGAGATGAGCAGCTACTAAGTATTTGGTCATCCACAAGTCTGGCCACCATGATTCCTGCATGCTTCTCCAAGTCTGGCCAATTGGGAACATAATTTGTAAAAGAGATATGCATAATCTGGACCTGTCTGGGAATGACAGAGCTAAATTTAAAAATATAAATTAATATCCAGTTATAATTGTTATAATGCTTTTATTTGGCCTGCTAGAGATCATAAAATGGATGTTTCAGTAGCACAGCAGTCATATTTACGGTGGCCTTTTCATTGACAGCCCCACAATTATGGAATAACGTCCACAAGGAGGTGCACCTTGCCCCTTCATTTGCAGTCTTTAGGAGGCAGCTGAATACCGTTTTATTTGTGATAGCATTTGATTAGTTCTTCTGCCTACTGACAGTTTTATCATATCGATTTTAACATGTTTTGATGTATTTTCTTATTATTTACATTGTCAGCTGCCTTGAGTTCCTATAAGGTAGAAAGGTGGCTAATAAATATTTGAAATAAACAAACAAACAAACAAATGAAAATGCCTGATGGTTTGATAGATTACTGGAAAGGAACTCCATACTGAAGACAGGAAGATTCAGGCAGGCCTGTTCAAGAGTGCTGAATCAGTATTATTTGGTCAGGAAGGACAAGCCAAAGAGTTGTGTGTGGATGGAAATCAGTTGCCATGTAGGTGAGAAACACTAATCATTATTCTATATGTATTTTATACATATACTATAAAATGGAGACTTTCTTATCTGCCTCTAGTTTATATACTATATGCATTCTATTATACATGTACTCTTTGCACACAGTACAGTGGTCATGTCAAGGCACCAGATACCACCAAGTAACTTGAGGCCAATTTACAGTTCATGGTTCTCCACTGTTGGAAAACAACAGTACCTCTTTGACCTTTATTATGCATATACAATATCTGAGTCTGATATCCAGAATGGATAGTGAGACCACTGGCTCCAGAAATTATTGAGAAAAATGTTTGAGCTATGCTTCTAACAAAACAGCAGCTGTTCGGTACATATTTCACTAAATTTTCTGCAGACACTAACTTACCTGTAGGAATACCTTTTTCTACTTATATGTCACTCTAAAGCTGCAATACTGTATATCCTTACTTGTGTAAGCACAACCCACTGAACAAAGTGAAATTTACTTCCAAATACACACACACAGAGGGAATCACATGTTTAACAGATACAAGTCTCATGCTTGGAAATGAGACCTCCATTACATTTTTTAGAATCTAAATTTTAATATTTCTCTGCAGGATACACCACATCACAACAAAGATTTGTGGAGACTCACTTGAGTGTCATCTTTCAGCTCAGTCAGCATAGCAATAACTTTCACTTTTCTCTGGTAGATCATGGACCAGAAGTCACTAATGGTTTCCAGCAGCGGCCCTTGTGTTGCTATCATTGCATTTTGAAGCCAGTAGCCCTAGGGGGGAAAAAATCTGAAATCATTTCAAAGATCCAGAGTTCTGCTTTGGGAACATCAGAAGAATATGGAAATGATTACTCTATATGGACAAACGCTGGTCCCAAGATACAAAATCTAAGAAAGCAAAAATCACATTAATCACAGTGGATTGACCTCTTGCTCCCCAAAATCAGCACAAGGAGTGGGCACAGAGCTGGCACAATGAGTTATTGCACTGAAGATAGACCAAAACAGATTTAATGATGCTAAATAAACAAACAAGTATCTTCCTTACTCATAGCAACACTAGGGTTACCATATTTTGAAAAGCAAAAAAGAGGACATATTTCCCGACTGACTACTTCAAACAAATGATCACTGTGACAAATCTCATTTTAAATACCCCTACCATTTAAACTGTGGTACTTGCTACTAACTAGGAATATTCCTAACCTTCCAACCCCAAAAGAGGACATTTTCATCATTTTTTTTAAAAAAAAGAGTCCAAAAGAGGATTGACACCAAAAAAGAGGACATGTCCTCTAAAAAGAGGGCATCTGGTAACCCTAAGCAACACGCGTGCCTTTAGCTAATAGCACTTCTCAAAAGACAAGGTGACATTCATAGAGACAGGAAAATAGCTATCAGATGGTGTACATAAAAGATCACATGTTTATTAATCTGAAAATCTACACTCTCCAATTCAATCTGAAGGTGAGTATGAAATTAACAATAAACAAATGTGCTTGATGTGATCTTGAGCATGTACTCTTAATGTGACTCAAAAGATAGATTTTATCCAGACACCTACACTTATGTAGGAAGCATTGATATACTTGTCGGACTCCTCACAGTCACTGTCCTCATCTGAAGAGTCATTGGAATCAAGTTCAGTCTCCCTCTTCCCCTCCTCTTCATGTTTGAATAATACTCTGTTATAGTCATCTGCACAGAAAAAATATATATCAAAAGATGGGTTAATGCAGTGATTCCTAATGGGGGCTATATGGCACACCAGGGGGGGTGATCTACAAATCCAATTTTAAGCAATCCCCCCCCATGCCCAATATATCCATCCATCCCTATGACCTTCACTCTAGGGATAAATTAATTATCCTGCCTCCAATTCACTATCATTTCTAAGATCACCTGAATGTAGGCATTCTATTCCTCTAGACTTCTGTTCTTTCCTTCCTTCCTTGGCATTTCACTAAAAACATACATTATTGAATATTTACTTCTCTACTGGATGTGTGTTTGGTTGGATGAATGCTAAAGTCATACACAGTTCCCTGGGGTTGCCTGTGTATGTTTGGACTCATTTGGCATGGGCGAGATGAGAGGCAGAAAATCCTAACCTCAGAGATCAGCTACTGTGCCCTAGGCTGCACAAGCTCTGGGCTTCTTGGCATCCCGTCAAGGGACAGATAAATCAATCAAAATTAAATAATAAAGTCTTAAGCACTGAAATAAAGGGCAGTTGGATCATTCTAAAGTGTTGTGCTGGTGAACAAACGGTTCAGGTTTGGTGGAGAACTTCAGCAGCATAGCATGCCACAAGTGTTCTCCAATGCCACTGCCCTAATCCACCCAGTGGCCTCTTGCTGTCTTAAATGCTTTCAAAGAACTCATTTGTATGACATGAAGCCACCACCTCCTTCTTGTCTCTTCAAACATTCCCTCTTCTATGTCACCATTTCAACAGCAAGAAAGCCAGTGTCCCCAAATTTGCTCACACTCAACCCTTGCAAGTAACCACTCTCTCTTTCATTTCCTTCTTCCCTTTCCCACCTTCTGTTCATATTCAGATCACAAGCTCTCTGTGACAGATGCCTCCTTTTATGGCTTTCGCTACTTTGTAAAATATAAACCTTTTTAGAAAGCAAGAAAAAAAGCTTTGCAAAATATACACGAAAAGCCCTTTATATAAAAACATATTCTTATCTGCACATCTCAGTCAAGTTAGTAGTTTTCTTGAATTTTCAGGGGGGGGAAATCAAGATATGTTGCTTGCAGGGGGTTTCCTGCGTATGTGTGTTTTTCTCAAATACTCACATGGAATAACCGAGCTCCGGTTTTTACTTTTATTTTCCTCTCTGTTGCCAGCTCTCTGTGTCTGCCAGTTCTTATATGAAGGCAGCCTCTAAAGAATAACAAAGACATGGGAATACATTGCAAATAAAGTTTCCTTATTAAGAGCAGGGATGCCATCAAACTTCTCATCCCAGCTAATTTCAACTCAAACTTCCCTTATTCAATTTTGCAAAACAAATCTGTGAGTCTTTATTTTCATGCCCTTTTCTGTTTCCCTCTACTGATATTTTTTCTTATTAGTCATTTTCCAAATAATTCCATTTACCAAGGCATGTAACATATAAAGAGCACCAAGAACAAAAAAGGTATAACAAAAAGACTCACTATGACATCATAAGACAAATGAAGGAAATGTAAAAGGGCATATTTGCATGACCCTAATCAAGCAAAATCCTGACCTGAATAACCAAGGCTAGCCCGATCTCATCAGATCTTGGAAGCAAAGCAGGGCTGGATGCAAGACCACCAAGGAATATTTGGATAGGAGGCGACCAAGGAATACCAGGGTTGTGCCAGGGGTCATTTCGTGCTAGAGCGCGGTGGAGTGGCGCTCCGGCAGAAAGGAGCCCGTCCCCCCCGCCACCACCATTCCTGGCCCACCTACAAAGGCGGACGAGCCAGGGAAGCCCTGCAGAGCCCCCCGCTGCCTGGGGGGATTAAAATGCCTTTCTTTCCCTTTCCCATCTACTCTCTGAAAATCGGGCAGGGAATGCAGGCATGTCTGCCTCCCTGCCCTCCCCTCCCCTCCTCCAGCCAGCCTGCCATGGTGGGCTGGCTAGAGAAAATAAGGGGATGCGGGCATACATACCCCCCTTTCCCCTGAGCCTCTCCGCTTTTGTGGAGAGACTCGGGGGAACGGGGGGGATTTAAATGCCTGGGTTCCCTGCTCGATGTTCTCTAGGTGCCCTGCACCCATGGGCACCTGGAAAACATCAGGCAGGGAGCCCAGGCATGTCTGCCTCCCTGCTCTCCCCTCCCCTTCTCCAGCTAGCCCACCACAGCAGGCTAGCGGGAGAAGGGGAGGGGAGGCGGGCAGACATGCCCCCCTTTCCCCTGAGCCTCTCTGCTTTTGCAGAGAGCCTTCTAAACATGCCTGCCCTTTGTCAGGGGGTGTGGCATATGCAAATGAGTTATGCAAATGAGCTCCTGCACCTCTTTTTCTATGAAATGACCCCTGGTTGTGACACAGAGGCAAGCAATGGGAAACCACCTTTGAATGCCTCTTGCCTCGAAAGCCCTAAGGGGTTGCCATAAATTGGCTGTGACTTGACAGCAAAAAAAAACCCTGATACTTAAGAGGATGTACTAAAACATCCCTTATTTTACACTGGGATTTTTTTAAATGATGAATGTCGCTTCTGGCCTAGCCAGTTTCTCCTTGACAAATCTAAACAGTGGAGCAAAGCAATTAAGTAAATGTATCTGATTAAGAGGCAAGGAATGTCTTGGCTTAAACCTAAACGAGGAATGATAGCTATCCTTTAAAGTAATGGTAGAGAATTAGAAAATAAGGAATTTACCTGGAATTCTGCTTCCAAAAGAGAGGGGTCGTTGAGAGGATAACTTTTCTTCAAGTTATTAAGGTAGTTGTGCAGTTCTGGGATGCTGACTTCTGTCTCACCGTACTGGACATACTCAACCAAAGCTTGATGGATCAAGATGTACTGTGTCTAATGTTCCCCAGCATTCCAGATTGTATGGATTACAGAAACCAAGTGTTCAGTTAAAGTGATATATCTTATATAAAGGAATATAATATATGAACTGACATAAATACATATTTACATCCCAAATAAAATCACTGTCACAAACATGTTTATTCATACAAAAGCCCCACAGAGTTCAGTGGGGTTTATTCTCAAGTAAGTATGTACAGGACTGTTTATTTTCAGTCCCTGGGGAGTAGATCCTACTGAACTTCTAAGTAAATGTGCATAGGATCACACTGCATATCAAGAAAACTTCAGTTCTCTAAGTTTATGAAACATAAGGGCTATTTCTCACTATACACTATACACCTATCACCGTTTCACATTTGAATAGCTGGGTGATCGAAGAATCAAAAAAGAATGTGGAGAACCTGGGAATGTGATGTTACATTTTTCAATGTGAGAGCCTCCAAGGATAGAAAGAGCTAATTAATACAGTGTGGCCCCGGTCACACGGGAGGTTTTGGCCCGGAAGAGGGACGGATCGGGGGCACAGCAAACGGGCGCGATCAAACCGCAACATCAGGGAAGCGACACGCACCCGTCTCCAATCCATCTCTTCAGGCCAGTAACATGGAGCATAAAAGAACCTGCAAAAGGGAAGGACTTACCTGAAACACCGCAGCAAGCATGGCTGTGAGATCGCTGGCGCGCCCGTCGTCAGGAGCAATCGAGGCTCCCGGCCGAACTGTGCATGTGCACACATGCGCAGCCGGCTGCCTCGCGCTCCCTTCCGTCGCTTTCCCCCCAGCATCAGATCGTGCCGGGGAGCAACTGCGCGGCGGCTCATGGAATCTATCTGATCCCGCCGCCGCGTGTCTCTTTTGGTGTAGCTTTAAAAAGCTGCACTTTGGCCACATCAATTTCCCCCCGTGTGGCAGGGGCCTGTATTTAGCCACCGAAATGCCTAAACAGCTCAGATGAGGGCATACAGGTGATGGTGAATTCAGATCAGCTTCCACAAACAAGATGTTCACCGAAGACTTCTCTCAATGAAGATGAGAACACCCTTCTCTTGGTTTATGCCACCCACACAAACAGACCACTTACATGAGCTCTTAAAATCACATAGCAAGAATGTAATGAAAATGATTTTAAACTATTATTGTAAGTTGCCTTGAACCACAAGGAAAGGCAAGATACAAATGTTTTCTGGGCTTCGCCCCCCCACCCCCCAAGAGATGCCAGAACTCTCAAGAGGGAAATGAAGTTTTCTATATGTATACTGAAAACTCATGAACTTTTAAACATTTTTAAAAAGAATGTTGTCGAAGGGGTTCTGAAACTCCATTCCGGTGGATTCCCACAGAAAAAAAAAGTCCTGAATGTTTTAATAAATAACTAGGCTGCTTTTCTGCCTTAGCACATCATAGATCACAGGAAGGCACTCATTATGCAATCGAGGAGGAGGGTGAGGCAGCATTTGAACACCTGCCCCAAACAGTGTTCCCTCTAAGCTGAGTTAGTGTGAGCTAGCTCACAGTTTTTTAGCCTCTGGCTCACACATTTTTGTCTTAGCTCAGGAAGGATGGCTCCAGAGCAAACTAATTTATGCAGTAGCCAAATCACCTGCTCACAACTTAAATGCCAGCAGCTCACAAAGTAGAATTTTTGCTCACAGGACTCCACAGCTTAGAGGGAACATTGGCTCCAAATATGCAATAGGTTGGAACGGGGGTGGTGGTGGTAGGAAGCACTAGTGCCTCCCTCTAGTTTCTGGATTAAATTTCATGGCTATAGAATACCCTTACCAGATGAAGCACTAACAAAGGCCTTGCAGTCATGTATCACGGAGGTGAATAATATCTTTACTAAATGCCTTTTAGAACTACCATATTCAATTATTACCACTAGTCAATTAATAAAGCCCTGGAAATATACCTCCACTTGAACCATGAGGCATCGCTGCCGTCGTAACTTTACAACATAGCCGTAAACGTCCACTCTTCCTTCAGTCTCCAGTCCCTCTAGCATGGCATCAATTCCAATATAGGTTCCAGTGCGCCCAACACCAGCACTGACAAGATGGTAAAGACGGACAACTGTCAGTCAAATCGTATGTGTTCAAGATAACTGATATGTTCAATTAACTACACTATTTTTCAGCCTTCTC